AGAAATTTAATAGAATTGAATAGAAATTTTTTTCTTCTTGACATATTTTTTAATCAAATATTTTCAAAATCAGTTGAGAAAATAGTTTGTTTATAAAAGTCATATCCTATTTACTTACCTATTAATTTATTTATTTAACAATTCATTTTTTTATTTATCTATTTTTTTATTGTTTTTATTTATGTATTTTCAATTAATTTTTGTATTCATCTATTTATTTATTTATTTATTTATGTATTTTTTTTATTGAAGAAACGCCATAAAACTTCCATTTAGTCATTGACAATAATTAGAGTTCAATTCTAACGTAACATTTTCGAATTTCATGAAATCGTTTGAAAGGATGAAAACTGATACACTTATAGAGACCGTATAATAAACGTCATAAAGAATATTTGAGAGAATAAGAAAAAAGTATAATAAGTAAAAATTTTCTATAGGGTAGCTCCCTTTTCTATTCATTAATAAAAATACATTAAAACCATATTCCAAAATTATCAAAGTAATCAGAAACCAGGATTACAATAATATTACATAATATATCATTTTCGTTATAAAAATCTCATTATAGCTTATTATATAACAATTTTTTTTTAAATTACTCAGCAATAATAATAAAAGTCTTCTTTTATGTCCATCGTAATTTACCTCGAAAATTATTGTGCCACAACGAAAATGGACAATTTATTTACCTAGGGACGTCTTGATTTACCCTTTTACTAAATTAACCACGATAATAACAATAACGTCATAATAAAAATAATAAAAATAATAAAAGAATAAAATAATAATAACAATAGCAATGAAATAATAAAAGTAATAAGAAAATAAAATAATGAAAATAATAAATAATATTTTCCCAAAGTTCTCAACGTTGAAATGAACAAAAATTTTTCTGTTTCAATGTTTTTTTTATAAATTTACTGAATAAAATAAAGAAAAAAAATGAATAGGTATGAATGAAAATAAATATGAATAAAAAATAAAAAAAATATATATATAAAATGAATAATATGAAATATGAATGTAAATTTGAAATTTTTGCTTAGTTAGGAATTTACCTAGTATTTTTAATAAACGAAATAATTTTTTTTTATAAAATAAATTAAATGAAGTAGGAAAAATTTTGTCGTTCGTAGAACTTTCGAGACTTCAGGAACATTAATTAATAATAATAGTAATAAAGAAAAAACCAATAAATAAAAATAATACTAATAATGACAATTATGATAATTTTTTAGAACGGAGACAAATTTATTCTACAAACAAAATTTTGACTAAAGATTTAAAGAAAAATAAAATAAAACTCTTGGATACAGAAAAAGAAAAGTATTGATTAGACTCTCAGGATACGATTCAATTGAATAGAGAAAAAGCCATTCTAATCTCCTTTCGTTTTGTTCGACTGAGAATTTTAATAAAATTCTAAATTCTGAAAAGGAAAATGAAAAAATTAATTTAAAAAATATAGAATATCAATGTAATTGAATAAGATAAAAAATAATAAGTAAAAGCAGGTGTAATTGAATATTAATAATTAACTATAGTTGTCAACATACTACTTATTATCTAGATTTGTATTATGAGTAGTGTTCAAAAAAATTATAGTATATTAATAAAAAATATAAATAAATTAATGAAATGAATTAAATAGAAAATTAACTAAAAATAGGAAAAACAGTTGATTATATGTTAAAATCTAATACTTTAGAGACATGGTGAAATCAAAGGGATTATAATAATGTCGTCACCACGAAATCGATCAACTGAACTTTAGTGGAGAAATTACGTCTTCAAGAGATGTTCACTGTCCTTTGCTTGCTGCTTTGGCGTCATCAGTTCATCTATACATATAAAGTTCTAGTTGTTTGCATTTAATTTGGAATACATCTTCAGTTAACCTCAATTTCAATCTAATTTCGACTTATAAAGTCTAAAACTTTTATCAACATTTCAAATATTTTATTTATAAAGAAAGTCGCTCTGCTAATCTTCTTATGTACAAAAGTATTTGTACTCTTGTACTCTTAAATATACATTTTTTCAATTTATTATTTATTATTTTGAATTTTGAATTTTTTTTATAATATTTTATATTAAATATTCTATTCTATTATAGTAAAGTTTCTCTCTGATATTAAATATTCTATTCTATCATATTAAATATTCTTATATAGAATTTTTATGCATAATATTGTTTGTTGTTAGTTTGTAAATAATAAATAAAAGAAAGTGTGTTTACACTTATTTTTTGGTAGACTTCGAGAATAATTTGTTTGAAACAACAAAATTTTGGTTGAATCAAGTAAATAAATGAATTGCCATAGCATCTTAGCTAAACATTTGTTTGGTTTAATTAGAAATTTACTTCTGGGAATTAAATACTTTGTTTGAGAGGAATATTTAGTACATTGAAGCAAATGTTTATTTGGATCACTTAAATGTTTATTTGGGTTAAATAAATTTTGTTTAGTATGAACGTCTCTTCTAATTTTGAATTACTTGTAAATTATATTTAGTTAAATTATTTCAATTTATTCGAATTATTCAAATTATTTAAATTAATTTAAATTAGTAAAAAATTCCGCTATTTCTTAGAAAACTTTTTAGTAGTATGTATTAAGTAGTTAATTTAATAGTTTTTGATTTTTTACTTACGTTACAGTATGAAAATACTATGAATTCGTACGAATTTTTACTAAATCAAATTTTTTAATTAATAATTTTGTACATTTATTTTTTTTTATTTATTTCATTTATATTTGATTAATTTTTTTTTCAATATTATTTAGCATAAACAAAATTTTTATTTTCAACCAAATGCAATTTATTTCAAACAAATGAATAGTTTAGTAGCTTTTGAGTCAAATGTTCCTTTTCTTTGAGTGGAATTTTTTCCTAAGTGCATTTTTAGATTTTTTTTTTTAAATTTTTTTTCTTTGAAATGTGGTCTTTAAGAAATCTAAAATGAGAATACTGAATAATAAAAGTGCCTTCAAATGAAAGATTCATAAACGTTCATGAAAGTTAAACAATGTTTTTGAAATAAGAAGACTATGAAATTAATGATGCTTAATAATTTTTCAAGCTTCGAGAAATATTTCCATCTCCAACAGAAAAAATTAGATTAAAATATTTATAGGTACTTGACATTAATTTTGCAGTTGACTCAAGTGGAAAATAAATTTTTTATTTATTATACTAATGTTATCTATCTAAGGAAGAAGAAACAAATGAAAGAATAGAAAATTCCTAGATATAATCTTATGATTCTTATAAATGTGATAAAAAAAATAGGAAAATTTACATTTTTTTGTACTTAGTAGAAAGTTTATATTTTTATACAGTTTACAATACGTTATGTATATATAAAATTTTATATAAGGAATTGCAAATATTCTAAAAAAAAAGATGGATGGCAAAAATTTATCAAATGTGAAATTCAATACCGTGTCATTTTAAATTGGGGTTTCAATTTCCTCAATATTGCAACATTACTTTGACAATTTAGTTCTCGATTGAAATTGACGTTCTGAAATATCATTTCATTTTTATTCTCGAAATTTTTTTATTTAAATTCAACGTATCTATTTTTTATACGTAAAATAATTATTTATTCGCACATAGCAATTATTGTAGAAGAAAAATGTTTGTACCAAAAAAAAATAATAATAATAATATAATAATAATAATAATAAGAAGAAGTTTTTAAATTAACGAAGACAACCGAGTGATAAAATAAAATATTTATTAATAATAAAAATGAGGCTTCATAAAAATAATAAAAAAAAATTAAAAAAAAATAATAATAATAATAAGGAAATAAAAATATATTCTCAATGAGAAAATAAGAAATAGAAAAGAAATCTCAGTACTATTATTAATAGAAAATTTTCTGAAAATAATTTTATTAATGAAAAATTGAAAATACAGAAACATGCATTGAGTAAATAAACGTAAAGAGAATTTACTTGAAAAATAATTCTTTTTATATACAGTAGATTCACCAATTGCAGAAAAAAAAGAAAAAGAAAAATGTATTTGAAATAAATGCTTGGACGATCTGCATTCATATGAATTCGCTTAGAAGCGTAATTTAAATTCAGTCGAATAAAAGTTTTTCGATCGAAAACTCAAATTTAAGTGCGAGTCTGAGGGGAATCACGTACAATATTCACACTAAATTAAAGTTTAATTATAAAAAAAGCATCATTCAAAGAGGGCAGAGTATTTTTTTCAACCATTTGTTTACCTTTCCAGTATATAGTAGAATTTACCATAAAAAACATTTTATTTTATCTGTAAAAAAATTATCGCGCATTTGAAACCAATTCGAAGGAAATTTATTTAGATTTGGAAAAATCTAAATAAAAAATTCTTCGAAAAAATTCAAATACATATATTTATTATACTAGTCATATATTAAACTTTATATTTTAAGTAACTATAAAAAATATTGAAAAATAAATAAAATAATAAAATATTTAAAATATAATAAAATATTTAAATTTTTAAAATATAATAAAATATTGGGCAAAAAATAAAGAAGACAATATTTGAAGTGCAGAATATTTATTCTTTATTTAACAAACTCTTGGTTAGAAAATAAATTCTTGATAATTTGAGTAAGAGAGTAGAGGGGGTTTTTGAAGAATTTCACAATAATGTAGGTAAGAAGTAAACAATAGTGCAATAAACCAAACTGCTGTTGCGACCCTTCAGGTCACATTGCGATCGAAGATTGTAAATAGCAACTCAACTTTAACACAACATTTAAGAATATTTCAATATTTTATCAATTTTTCATCCATTTTGAGTGAAATCCAGTGAAATCTTACTTATCATGATTGCGTTGTTAGGATGTATTTATAGTTAGATATAAACTCATCGAACGAGAGTGTGGTACTTAAAACTTTTAATAAGCCAAATTTCACTTAGATTTAGGAAGAGCTTAAAAGAGAGAGAGAGAAATTATAATCCCTACATTTAATCATTTACAGATATACAATATGATGATACTAGGAGTTTTGGGAATAATGCTTTATGAGGAAAGTCAATATTTTTCCGGAGAAACACAATTACCAGGATCATCAAGTTTTCTGGAGCCGGACTTTATGTCTCCAAGTAAGTAAAAATACTTATTTCCATTATTTTCAGTCTATTTTAGTAAATTTTTTCCAGCTGCAATAAAACTCAGCATCGCTTTGATGATCTCCTCATCCTGCGGGATTTTTTGCTGCTTTCTGCTTGTGTACGGCTTAATCAAAGTAAGAAAAATCCATTACCATTTATTCAACAAATTGTGTGTGTTTTATTTTTTCTTCTTTTCTTTTCCGTTTTCTTTTTTCTGTTCTTCGTTCTGAAAATCGAGGTGAAAACTAATACAAAGTTTTATTAAAACATTTTTTTGCAGTCTTTGATTTAAAAAGGGAATAAATACAAGCGGATGTATTTTTAATCTTTACTTTTATTTATCCTTCTTTACTAAAGGTGCTAAATAAAGTAAAATTCAGAACTTTTCTGTGCTGAATATTATTAATAAATACTAGCAACAATTCGTGCGCGGCTAACTTTTTACTCCCTTTTTTCAAATGAAAATAGCAATTTTAAAAATAATAGAACGTAAAAATTTTTAATCATATATTTTGAGACAGGAAATTAAGGGGAGGTTCCCATTGCGGGAGTCAAAAAAATTGATTTCTTTTTTATTGTATTTTTTTAAAGCTATATATATGTAGAATATGTGTGTATAGCGATTTTTTGATCCGAAGAATATTTTCGTTTTTATGGAGTCTTGAACTCACCGCCGTCCCGAGCACTGAGTAACAAATGTCAGGCAAATCGAATCAATTTTTAAAAATTTTGCAAATCTGACCTCAGAATCGTAAAGAGCGACCCTAAATACCTATAGATATTTATCATATACGCAAATTGAACAAAGAATTGCAAAGAATAAAATTATTGCACAAAAATGTTTCTCAAACTTTAAACGCGGTTTTCTCGAAACAAGATTTTTCAAACTGGTGGGCATCGTAGCGTCTAAACTATTTAATCAATCAACTTCGGGTTTGCGGCTAATTAAAGGTAACTAAATTCTACTGGGGTTATACCTATAATATGATAAAATTGTTAACAATAGAGATTTTTACAAGAGGTCAAATATGGAAAAATAATGCAAAAACGCAGTTTTTTTAAAAATGTGTTCGCCATTTGACATTTTATTAACTTTTTAACTATTTTTTAGGTATAACCTATTCTTTAGGATGTCACCTTTATAAAAATTTTTGAGTTTTTGTTTTAGACTAAAAATTGCGCAGTATAGAATGCCCACCGTTTTCCCTATTTAATAAAACATTATTTTCTAGATGCGCCATATTGGCCGCCATTTTGCATTTTTTTTTAAAATGAAATATATATTTTAAAAGTTCAAGAAAGTATCTTTATTTAGAAAAAAAAATTACATCGTTAAGTCATAGCCGTTCCTCGCAAAAAATTGTCAAAGTTTGTGTTTATTTTGGCCTCCGCAATGAGAACCTCCCCTTAAAGGAAAATTGAGGGATTTTTATTAAAAGTACGGGAAGAAATTAAATTTTTAGAATTCATAAGAAAATTCTGAATTTTTGTGTCTTTTTTGTTTGCCTCATAAACTATATGAAATTATCACAAGTTATAATACAAAAACATTCAACTCTTTCAATTTCTGACAATAATTTCTTTTTAAATAACTTAATTCTTATGAAGAACTGTCTATTTTCATAAATAGATGAATTTCAAAAGGTTTTAATTTGAAATTTTATAAAATTTCAATTTTGAATGAATTTATAATTAGAAATTTTTAAAAAACTTAGATTTTCGAAAAATTTTAATAATTCAAATTCTTCTGAAATATATCGAATTTTTTAAAATATATTTAATTAATTATTAAATAATAATGGATTTAAAGAAGAATTTTAGTTAAAAACACAAAAAAATTGCATTTTGAAGAAGTTACAAATGATTGCAGAAATTCAATTACTTGCAAAAGTAATAAAATTCTTATCACAAAATTCAATTATGTTCAAATTGAAAAAAAAATCTCGTCAAAATCCCAATTATCTTTATAAATAATAAAATTCATCTTCAAAATTCAATTATTTTTAAAAATTTTAATAAAATTCTAAACAAAATTTCAATTATTTTCAAAAATTTTCCTCATAATAATTTTCAATGTCTCTACTATTTTAATAACACTACCGAAAAGAAAATTGTTTAAAAAAATTTTTAATAAAATTGTACGCAAACATTTAATTATTTTCATAAATAATAAAAATTTTACAGGAATTCAATTATTTACAAATTTTTTATTACTTTCTTCTCAATAATTCAATTATTTTTATAAATAATAAAACTCATGGCAAAATTTTAATTATTTTTTATACAATTTTAATCGAATTCCTTGAAAAATGTAACTATAAAAATTTTATTAAAATTCGTCAAAAGAATTTAATTATTCTTTATAAGAATTAAATTTTAAGAAATATTTAATTATTCAATTAATAATTTACTTTTGTATTTAAATAATTTAATTCTCATAGAATTTTGTAATAAAAATTGATTTAAAAATTAATTTTAGTGAATAATTTTGCAAAATAGAAATATTGTGAAATTCAACTGAAAATAATTAAATTTGTTAAAGAATTTCATTAAAAACATTTTAACAAATCGAATTTTCAAAGTATTTTAATTTAATAATTCATAAATAATTTAATTTTATAAAGAGTCACATTCTAATGTATTCATGTTTCCTAGTATGAAGATTAATATTTAAAATTTTTATTAGTTAATTTTAAAAAAGATACACACTTAAAAATTTTTAATGAAATTTAATTTTCGAAATTTTTTTTGAAAATTCTGAAAAATAAGATTTTTGAAATTTTCCAATTCTATTGTTTCAAGATAATTGAATTCTTATAAACAAATAATTGAAAATTTTTGAAATATTAGAAAATGTTTTACATTCTATTAAAAATAATTCAATTCTTTTAAAAAATTTTATTTAAATTTTTCGAAAATGATCAAGGCAAGTTAGTCACCGTAATTATAATTTTATTTTAAAAATTTTCTTCTCAATATATTTAATTATTTTCATAAATAGTGAAACTCATTGCAGAATTTCAATTATTTTTAATACAATTTTAATCGACTTCCTCGAAAAATGTAATTATTGTCTTAAAATTTTTATTAAAATTCGTCGAAAGAATTCAATTATTTCTAGAAACTGTAAAGAAAATTCTTCTCAAGAATTCAATTATTTACATAAATAGCAAAATTGTTCAGATTATTTACTTAATTCTTTTGAATATTATTTTTAAATAAAATTCTTTACAAGAATTCAATTATTTTCATAAATTTCCATAAAATTCTAAAAAAACAATTCAATTATTTTCAAAAGTAATAAAATTCTTCGTAAGAAATTCAATTATGTATAAAAATTTTTTTAAATTCTTATTTAAATTTCAATTATCCTTATAAATAATTAAATAATTGTTCTCCAAAATTCAATTATTTTCAAAAATTTTAATAAAATTCTACACAAACATTTAATTATTTTCATAAATGATAACATTCTTTTGAAGAATTCAATTATTTTTATAGACAGTAAAATTCTTTGCAGAAATTCAATTAGTATTGATACTTTTTAACAAAATTGAATTAATCAAATTTTCTATTATAATTATGAACAGACAAGATTATTTAAAAAAATTTTTAAAATTCTTTGTTTAACTTTAATTCAATTTGCTACTAATTTCTAATATTATTTTTTATTTTGAATCATGAAAAAATACCTGCATATTTTCGATTTATCAAACAATATTTTTTAAAGAAAAAAGAACAAAAGCACACACAAAAACTAACTTCAAACTGTGAACAGAATAAATGAAAGAATATGAAGATTAATATAGTTAATTAATTGGTAAAGAAATATTAATGTAAATGTATATGTTAATGTATATTTTAATGTATATTTTAATGTATATTTTTAATTATATTTTAGTTTATATTTTAATTTATATTTTAACGTATATTTTAATGTATATTTTAATGTTTACTAATTTAATGTTTACGTTTTATTGAACTCTGTAGTGAATTTTAACTTTACGAATTTATCATTTCACTTCTTCTTCCTCAATCAATTCGTCTTATTTTTATACATTTATATATACCCTATATCGTAGAAATGAAAACGCCAAACATTTATTTCAATCTTATGATAAAAAATCTCCTTTAGAGGTGAAGGAGATTTCAAAAAATTGCGATGCAATAAATCACGTCGGTGACCTAGAATGAAGAAATTTCGTTTCACTCTTTTCGCATTAACATGACAAAATGCTGTCTCATCACTTGGGTGTTTTCTCGCGCACACTTTCGCTTCATCAACTCTTTCCCATCCTCTCATGTCACGATAATTCTAAAGGTGTAGCATAATTCACGATAATACAACCCCCTGTGTTTGTTATCAACCAAAGTTTGTCGTAACGGTAAAGGTGTATATATATATATATATATATATATATACACATATTGTTGAAGCCAAGGGAAAAGCATTTAGGTACCAACCGAGATTAATGCCACTGGAGAGGATTTACTCTGAAAATCCTCCAATATAGACAGAAAAAAATGTATATCCGGCTTACAATTTATTTTATCCAAAATCTGCATTTATTCTTTTCTGGATGAAGGATTTTTTTCTTCTCTGAATTCTTTTTTTTTATTCTTTTTTTCCACAATCTGCGTATTTTTATCGTTCCTCTTGAGAGATAATTTTTCTTTAATAAATTCGCAGGCTAAGGCCTGTGTGTATTTATTAAATAATTATTCACGCGACACTTTTTTCGCCACATTCAAATATTTAGATACCTATTATTTTTAAAAGTAAGTTACTTATTTTGTTGGTAAAATTCACTAATGGTACTATTTTTTTTAACCGTAATTTTAAATATCATTTTATTTAGTAAACAAATTAATTTTAAGACTACGGATAAAAAAATTAGACTTTAAAAATTTCTAATTAAAAAAGTGAATTTAAAATTTGAATCCTAATTATCAAATTAGGAACATTTTGAGATTCAATATGGAGACGCTATTCTCCACCTGCGAACGCCAAGGTCACCGCTAGAGGGCAGATTAGTTAATTCTTGGAATTTCTCCTGCCATCTAGTGGTGACCTTGGCGTTCTCAAGTGGAGAAATTAAACCCCATTTTATCTCTCAGCAAAATTGTTTTGAAT